ATTTACCTTTGGTAGTCTCAAGATGAGACTGCTCGATAAAGTTAGGTACTCGGCTGGACAACTGGAATACGATGCTCATTGCAGTACTGCCTCGTACGACAATCTCACTGTTCTCCGGCTTTTTGAGCTTCTGTCCCTTGTTGCGCCGTACTGCTTGGTCATACAACTGCTCCTCCCGTGCGCCCACTTGAGCGGCGGTTGCAAACTCATTGAGAAGCGCAATTGCAGCTTCATAATTGTCTGCAGTGATGCCTGGCTGTGGTGATGTAGCTAGGTCCTCCACAAGTAAAAAGACATCTCCAGCGGCATCAGGTACATTGGCTAACCTGTTAAGAATAGTCCAGAAGTCTGGTGAGCCTGCAAGCTCACTGCGAAGCGCGTTGGGTCCCTTGCAGCAATCGCTCAATCCCTTGAGGATTGGTTGTGCACACTCCTGCAGCAGTGAATCGTTGAAGCTCGAAAAAGTGTGCATAAGAACTGGCGCTCGAATGAAGTCGTAGTCCTAATCATATTAGAAGACTGAAAACACCTTGCGTATTGATACTCACATTGCTAGCCTTGAGCAGGCTCAGGAGGTAGTATGCCGACCGGGCAACTACCACATAATGATGCTTGGTAGCATCTCGAATGACCGACGCCAGCGCATCGATCACATCCTTTGCAAGGTCTTTGACAGTCTCTTCGTCACGTAGGGCCAATACAGTGGCTAGCTCAAGAACAAAGACCAAGCTGGGGTCATAAAGGGGACCCTTGCCTTTCTGTCGAGGACCAGGTGTTCGTGGACTTGCACCTGGAATTTCAGGCTTCACCACGATGACTGTTGGTGACCCATCTTCGGGCAGATGCCGAAGTAATGAATCAAGTAGTGCCCTGAGAGAATCTACAGGTAGCTGACTGATGTTTGCAAGGATGTCTTCGAAATGGCACTCCTTCACCGTATCTACAGTGCAAAGTGTGTACTCTATCTCCTGGTCCGATGGCTCTGGCGGCTCATCATTAGCGAAGCTGGAAACATAAGATGTCAAAGCTGAGAATATTCCCGTATCGGCGGGACGCTCAGCACGGTCAATGACTTGGGCTGGGTTCTGGAGGGGTATTGGTGCTAAGGCAAGGGTTTTCTGGAAGGAAAGGAAGTAAGGCGGTATCAGCGAGTTGACAAAGAGATTGACCATGATGCGGATAAGCTATCAATGTTAGCGATATCCTGAGTACACAAACAGGAGACTTACATGTTCCCATCCGCCTCTTATCGATGCTTCATTGCCTTTGATCACCTGGAACAGCACGACGGTTGCTAGTTGCGCTCGGGCATCGCGACCAAACCGGACAGCAGTCTCGCTGACCATGACACTCTTCTTGTCGGCCTGAACCTCAGTGTTCAATGAAGTGCTCGGGGGCACATCAGGCGCCAATGTGCTTATGTACGAAAGGCACGAGATGATGCGGTCCAAAGCATCGGTAAGCCCATATTTCGCTGCAATCTGAGCGCACTGGTCAAAGCCTTGCACAACGCGTGAGAAGACAGCATCGTCAGTAGCGGACATGAAAACATATGCCAGTGTTGCTACAATGGGTTTCCAGGTAGCAGCAAACATGTCTGCGTCGAAAATATTGGTTTCACAGATGACAATATCTGATGTTGACTGACACTTGACGAGTAGCTCTTTCCACGCATGCTCATAGGCGTTTCGGTCGCTATGCTCCTCAGGCAGGATGATTTCACGGTTCTTGATAGACTCGTAGATTTTCTCCAAGAACTCTGCGTCAAAGTCCTTTCCGTCGTTCACACCCCGTACATTTCTCCTGAAGTCTTCCAGTTGCATTCGCTTTTGCTTCATGTTGGGGTTGTGCTGGTCGGTGTTCAACATGATAACTGCGTATGTGAGAATGTAGATAGCGTCGCCGTTGACAATGCCTTCAGGCTTTGCCATTTTGAAGTATTTTTCAGAGAACTCAGTGAGAATTCTTTCAATCAGTGCAGATTCTCCAGGAAGACGGAAAGCATGTAGAAGTTGGCGGAGCGCTTCATCAATGCGCTGCCCAGTGAAGTCGAACAAGTCGATAAAGGCACTAAGTATTGCTTCATTTCCTTTCTTCGAGATGAACTCTCCGAGAACTTTCTTATCAACTCTCGTTGTGCCTTTGACGAATTCAGCGATGCATTTGGGATCATCGGGGTCGGATATAACGCCCTGTGACGCTAGGTACGCGATGCCAGCTTTGGGCTTCTCGTTGAATTTGGTTGCACCCTTGATGATGACGGCCTTGCGTGCCCGCTGCTCACGAAGAGATTCGACACTGGGGTAACCTTCAGTCACTGGTTCGTCGTCCAAACGATCGGCCATGGATTGCACAAAGCCGAGGAGGGCATCCAAGCAGAGAGGAGGTACATTGACAGTACTCCAGGTTGCGGAGTCTGGGAAGGCGTTCCTCGAGAGAAGTCCCACAATGTCCATACAGACATCACCACGGTCAATCTCGCAGTCATAGTTGACAAACAGCTCTGCCATGTATGACGATATCCGAACCAAGCCGCCCAGGTTCTCCACCATGGCTTCTCGGGCATCGGGTTTTCGGACGCCTCCCTCCAAACCCAACTTTTGTCGATCTTTAACAGGTACTGGGGTCGAACGGCCACTGGAGCTGTTTTGTTGCGGCGGTTGCTTTATGAGACTCGGCGCCTGTGGGACACCTTCGTATAATGAAGGCTCAATACCAGGCTCTACTGGTATCTCCACCCTTGGAAAGAGGCAAGCCACTAGGTAAGACAGGTAAAGCTCTTGTTGCAGCTTGAGCACGTTCCTACATGTTGCCAGCAGGGTACCAGCGACTCGCAATGACTCGTTCAGAATCGCCATGTTGTCCGACCTGACCAGTTGGAAAATGTGCCGACACAGGGTATCCTTGGCCAGGTTTGCAAGACTAGGATGACTTGCGATTGAGGGTCCAGCAACTTCAAGTGCGACATCGACAATGCGCAACGCCATGACACGCATAGTATCAGTATGCTGTCGGTCATGCGGGTCCAGTAGATCGACCAGTACTCGAAACAGTTCTCTTATAGACGGCAACGAGTATGGCTTGATTTCGACAGCGGACTTAGGCTCCCCATCTGCAGCTGTCGCAGGAAGATCCAGAGTACTACTCGCTGGATTTACGGTGCTTTCGTTATCTTCTTGGCCCTTATCGGGGTCACTTGAAAGCTGTAGTGCTTCCACCTTATGCTGTGCAGCATCGCCTCCGCCGTCTGCTGTTGGGTCCATCCGTAGGCCGTCCTGCTCATCTTTGCCTTCGAGCTCTTCGTCCATAGCCTGCAGTTCATCTGGCGACTCAACCTCGAGGGTCTTCAATCTCCTGAATATAACCTGACACATCGAAACCATGGCCACCTCAGCAGATCGTCGCAGCACCTCGGAGAGTCGTGCCTGACAGCACATGCTCAAGCCTGTTTCCATCATCTCGCATACGCTCTCGTCACCGAGTACCTCTCCCCCACGGCCCGATATCATGACTTCCATCAACCTGAGGATGCGGAGCAAGACAATCTCGTCTGCCGCAGAGTCGGTGGCTTCGAAACGGCAGTGTGTAATGGCAGAAGAGAGCTGCTGCATAGCTTCTGGTAGGCGTGGAGAATCGTAGCCAATAATGCCATATGACAGAAACTTAGTAATGGCAATCAGGGCGAGTGAGGTAATGGGCGCAGATGTGGAAGACGAACGGATAACTTGTAGGAAGGGGTGAAGCATAGAGGGCGTATCGAATGTCCGAATATCTGGTGCGGTAGCATTAGCATAGTTCTGGAATGGAGCCCATTGGGAATGAATCTCCTTACTTTTGCAGCCCTTGAGATCATTCCTTAGGCGCGCAAATGCAGACATGAGGGGATTGTCTTGCATGCTTTTGCCCTTCTTCCCCCGCAATCCCCATCTGCTTGGAACAGCCTCTTCTGGTTCTCCTGCGCTCACAATGCCCTGTCCTGTTCGATCGCGCCGCTGTACGGTTGGAGCCTTGTTGGAGGAGCTCCCCAATATCGCCGCGACTGACGAATGCGCCCAGCGGGCATGCTTTCGCATCGCCGACGTGACGGTGATACATTCTGTCACGACGAGAGCTACTGGGTTGACTGCGACGGTAATGGGGCGGGGGTCCAGACTTGCGACCGTCTCTTGGAGGGTTGACGCGCCATTGTCATCGCCGTCGATGCTCGACATGGTGCCGGAAAGCTGATGTGTAGTTGCGTAAGTGGTGGGGAAAGTATTGCGCGCGACACGGTGTCGTTATACTGGCGGGCACATGGACAACTATATGCTACGTTCAGTCGATTGGAAAGATGACACGCATTCTCCCAACTCTTTGCTGTTGCCTGAAAAAAGGGAGACGTATTCCAGAGCCTCTCGAGTGCGATTAGGAGTCGTCTATTGACAATGTGTCCGTAAGTACTAGGCAACTGGCAAATGATCTATTCGGTGATCTGGCGGATTAGCTCTAGTACGCAGCGGAGTTTCGGAGGTGCTGAGACGCAACGCTGATCGTGCCAGGGTCCTAAGCAAACATCCTACGTAGGGCCAAGCACCGCCCGAATAAACACCAGTTGGAAACCCCAAGACCGACTTAAGATAGTGTCAAATATTACTACAGATGAATAGGCTGCCGATTCTACTGCTGAGTCCCTAAGCGCCTTGTGATGCAATAATTGCTGTCTAATGTATGCAACCCTTCAAACTGGTTGTCTAACGCCTGCCACAAGAGAAAGCAACAAGCTCTGATTCCTACAAGCAAATCCAGCTCAACATTGACGTACTACATGCTGGTGTTATTGGGTCCCAGCCAAAGCATGCAGTGAGTTGAGAGAAACCAACGCTCCAGATGCGCGCTCCCAGTCTACCCAAGTCGTTACTGTCGTTGCCGTACTCGCGCATCCCCACTGCACGCACGAAACTGCATCAGTAGAAAGAAGTCCAAGTCTTGTAGCCCCTCGCATTATTCATGTACTGTAGGCGCTACGACTTGTCCTCCTTCCTCTCAATTGGCTTCTCTTCTTTAGTCTCTTCCTTCTTTTTCTCCTCTAGCTGCTTGTCCTTCTGCTCCCCTTCCTTAGCCTCGCTCTTTGCCTTTTGAATTAGCTCTTGAACTGCGGCCTTCTCCTTCTCCCAGTCGCCCTTCTTTTCGTCAAAAGACTCTTTGATCTTGGCCTCCTTGGCCTTCTTGGCCTCTTCTTCAGCCTCCTTCGCCTTGCGTTCCTTTTCCATTTCTTCCATATGCCGAATGTCGTCGACGCTAGGCTCGTAAAGATGCCAGATGGTATAGTGAGGCAGACCGACGACTGAGAACTTCATGCGCTTGGCCATCTGCAATATGTTAGCTTCGTGGCATGAGAAGAGGTCGAATATCTTACCTTGCCGAATCCTTCTGTCTCGGCGTGCTTCTCAAAACTGAATGCGGGGAAGTGGCAACCGGCACGGAAGACCTTGGCTTTTGCAAGAATACTAACACCACCAACACCATCAATTTCCATTTCCATGTCCGGGTCACCATAGGGGTCGCGAAGGTATGCCAAATGCGGGCGCCAGGTCGCGTACTCTGCGTAACCTTCTACAATGACGGCGTCCTCGTCGAGTGTGTCCGCAAGAGCAAGCGCAGTCTCGGACTCTTGCCAGGAGTTTAGATCGTATGGTTGTTCTCCGCCAAGCCAGTCTGGGAGCGGTCGCCAGACATCTGAACGACATGTTAGCAATGAATACCTCTGCTATATGAAGTGAAACATACTGGGTACAATAACATCTTTGTTATGGCGCATGAGATCCTCCAAGATGGTGAACGGAGCAGTCTCCACGTCCACATCTCTCCAGTATACCCAACTATGTGTAGGCCGTAAAGCAGCACTCAAGAGCCAGTTGCGGGCTTGTGCCATTGACTTTCGACGGCTAGCCTGTGCAGCGAAACCATGGCGACTTTCAACATCTTGGTTGACCTTTTGTCCAAAGTCCTTTTCCATGATTGAAATCTCTCCGAATTGTTGCTTTGGGTCCGGGTCGGCCTGCAGCTCCTTCAACTTTTCCGTCAGGAGTGAAATTGTGTTGTCCTTGGAATCTCCAACCAGGAATGCTAGATCAATGAGGTTGTGTGGGTATGTGAGGTTCTTGAGGTGGCTAAAGAACATGGGCAAATGTGGGGATGCGTCTCGCAATGGAGCGCAGAGAAGTATCCGCTCCTCCCTTTCCCATCCCCTTGCAGTGCCCTGGACATTGTTCAGGTCGTAGTATCGTACCGTCTCGAGTTGCGAATCGTCGCTCGAAGTGATGAGGCTCAGGGGTCCGGAGCCCAAATTTGGTCGCAGGTTGGGAAAAAAGAAGAAGAGCGCTGTAAAGAAAAGCGAGCCCACAAGCAGCAGGCGCTGTATCAGCGTCCTTCGCCGTCTTAGGGCAGGCTGTGACCGCGGCTGGAATCTAGAGGCACAATCAAAGTCAGGACGTTGTGTAGCCAGAGTCGTGGGGGTAAAGGAGGTGCGATGCAGAGGTAGTGCGCTGGGGTTGCGCTGTGCATTGCGGTGTATAGACGTACTTGTGAGGCTGTATGGAAAAAGTACCTCCTCCTTGGGAGGGGTATGCCCCGTTGGAAAACGCATGGCGATGCATTTTCCCTTTTGACGTTGAGTATGAAGGAAGCATTCGTGGAAGACGGGCACCAGATAGTATGGATCGGTCCCTTTGAAACCCTGGTCAGCTAAGACCTCCCAAACTACACGGCTGCGCCACGGAACAATGATGCTCTGTCCTCCCCTATCCTGTCAGGGGAGAGGTGTAGTCGGCCGTGGTGATTGCGGCGAGAGGAGCGTGGGTTGTTGGATCAATCGAGGGCTCGCGCGTCTTTGGTATCCTCTGGTAGGTCTTGGCTGAGGATCAACTCGCCAAGGCCACGTTAAAGTTTAATTGTACTAATGTTGATGGTCCGCAGCAGCTGACAGAGATCGCGCCAAACTATCAAGTCGATGCGCGTGCCCGGGGAGATGCCAAATGGTTTGTTCGCTGCGTTTCGGACACTTTGCAACTGTTCGGGGGCGTGAAGCTAAGCCAAGCTGACTAGTAGTATGGCCGTTTCAGAGCAATGATACGCAGGCGTACGTATTCGCCGGAAATTCAGTGGAGAAGACACGGCATGGCATTCTGCACAGCACCCTGCCTCCCCATCCATGCAGCCCTCGCTGCGAGGCTGACTGTTATGCCTGTGCTGTGTGCTTAATTGCCACAGCCAATGGAAAATTTATTGTCACAACCAGCGCGCTGACGGTATGTCCTCGAGGGCGATTACACATGGCACCCACAGGCGTGTCCCTAATGAATAACACACTAATACAAAGAGGAGTGTCTAATTTGGGCAAGTGTAAATCATAGGATTTGCAACTATCTAACTGCATCTACCCAAGCTACCGATGCCCCCCAGCATGCCACCATTCCACCCTCGGTGCTACTCGCGGACCGGACATGCGAAGCTGCGAGTGTTATTACAAAAAGTGATCTGAGCGCTGTTAGCAGTGCTCCAGCTGCAATCTCGCAAAACCTTCATAGTAGGCAATATGCTCAGACAGCCGTGTTTAATCATCCCCTATCACCTGGCCTCTGGCCGCGGCAGCCCAAGACGGATTGCCACAACTTTCAGCACAAAGACCACAATTACGCAGCGCTGGACGAGCCAGCATTGCAACTCCACAACCCGTCATCCCAGCCGAAGCTGGTAGGGTGCGGGAGGGTGACCCGGCAACAGATGTCATTGAATGGATAGACTAGTTTTCCTCCTGGCGAAAGAAAAGAAAGGTGGGGTGCTTACCACTGAGGGAGTGAAGATATAAGCTATGCTGTAGTCTGCTTACAACGTCAGCAACGTCCATTGGAAACATTGATTCAACAAGATAGAGATCAAGTTATATCAGACAAAGGTAAGCGGTATATAACTTCCACATTGTAGTTCGGAAGCAGAACTGAAATAATACGTTCATCACAAAATGAGATTGTAGGGGTGCAGAGCTCGACTTACCAAATGTCAGTGCCTGGCCTTCCTGGCTACACCAGGTCAAGGCTGTGTGAATGCACTCATGGGTAGTGTCACAGTGCGCCCAGGCAAACCACCTCTAGTGTTGGACAGCGAAGACCTCCGGTGATGCAAGCCGAAATAGCAGCTTGTGCTCAGCGAAGGTCTCGAGATCCCACAGACCCCATGCTCATATCCGTATGCGCAGACTCTCCTAGAAGAACACGACAGCGGCAGCTCGGGCGCATTGCCAGCATATTGTCAATACATCCATCTCAGTGACTGGGCACCGTTGCGAGATGTTATTGCTGTAGCATCTGAATTGAGTCAGCCAAAGTCGCAAAGCCTGCCGTGAAACCAAAAGCTGATAGAAACGAGATCAGAGGGTGGTGCATGTGTTCAAAGCTCATTTGAGATCACAAGAACGTATTTCAAGGGTATCAATCATGGAAGATCGGGTAGAAAGAAAATGCGGTGGTAACTTACCTCGAATGCTGAAGTGTTGTAAGGAAAGAAAGTTGGCCCGGACGCGAAGGAAAATTGAGCTTGAGGAACGAACTCTTGGCGGATCTGCAGCTTAGTCATGCATAATTTGCGTGCCTACCGCCATGAGATCATCCACATTTCTTGCAGCACAAACATCTACCCCCACACAATGGCTATGAATATTGACAGACGGAGAAATAATGCGCCTAGTGGTGGAACAAGTGCTCCCGTGTTTGCGCGCACTATCAGGGAGCCGCAATATGTCGAAAAGTTGAGACCGACAAGATCAAGAGGCCCAAATGAGCTTCGCAGGATCTGTGAGTTGTTAGGTTTACCTATCGGCGCTTCTACGAGCACCTTGTTCGCTCGACCTGGATGTCATTGCTTAGAGAAAGCTGTCGACAAGCTTTGCACAGCTCCAGGATGCGCTGGTTATCCGTATTCTATGTGCTAATACTCAAGTATAGTCCTCCAAACGTCCATTATACCCTCTGCGTCCGGCTCCGCGTACCTCGAGATACCGTCGTCTTCGGTTGCGAACAATTCTAGCCTCATTGCGCCAACTTCCTCGCTTAAGATAACGGCCTCAATACAAGGCCCAAAGCCCCTCCCCCGCAGCGCGCCCTTTAGTCCGTCGCTTCTCTTAACGACTACTGTGAAATTTGCACCGTTTGCAACACGGCATAGGCGGGGCTATCTACGCGACGCAACAGAACGCGACCTGGGCGTGCATCTGGAGACAGCACTACGAGGCGTCATCATTGGCGAAAGATGGCCCAAGAGTGGCGTGGAAGTTGTGGTCACAATTCTTGAGGGCGATGAAGATGGCTGGTGGGGTGATTTGGCAAGCGGGGGAAACGCGACAGGAAGTGGGTGGGGTCTCTTGAATGTTTTGGCAGGCTGTATTACGGTTGCCAGTGCTGCAATAACAGACGCGGGCATTGACTGCGTGGATGTAGTATGTGGAGGCGTGGCCGCCATTGTACGAAATCCGTCGTCAAAAAACGAGCAAGAGCTGCTTAGGATTCTGGACCCGTGTCCTGCGGAGCACAGGGAAGTGGTTGCAGCGTGCGTAGTGGGTTACTTGGCTTCAAGAGACGAGATCACGGAGATGTGGATGAAGGGAGACGTTGGTGCAGAGCCAGATGCGCTCATTGAGGGAGCTACACACGCGGCTGTGGGCAGTCTCGCGGTAGTCAAGGAGGTATTGCTCGAGGCAGTCCAGGCCAAATTCCAAAAGCAAGTCGAGGGCGGCGAGAGCGGCGTGAAGAGAAAGGCGCAGGATGTGGACATGAGTGGATGACGAGCGCCTGGGCATGTTTCGTTGCCAATAGACCCGTCCAGCAGTTAGCGGAAGCCCTTTTTGCATGAAACTGGATTCCAACGGCCCCAACAGCCGGTGGACAGGTTTCTCAAAGGTCAAGTGCATGGTGCGAACTAAGAAGCTGCACAAGCGTCCCACATGGAGCAATCGACCATTTGAGTGCCATGGCTAGCTCGACCAACAGCAGGGATTCGACGGCGGGGGTCATGAATACAATTATGCAGGAATGTGAAGAGTCGATGGAAGTGCACTGTTGTGCAGGCAGTGCCGTGGCTTGTAGCCATTGGTAAGCCGATACACAAGAAAACGAGTGGCTGGGGAAGGATGGAGAGTGGCGTCACAGTTACTCGGACGTGTTACTAGGGGCGCACGGCTGGTAGGATGCAAGATGCTGCCGACGGCATGGAAAAGCAAGATATGGTGGGGGACTTGAGCCGGGATAGCAAAGCTTCTTCGCGACCCACCCATTCCTATTCCTCCATGGACACTAGCACTAGTATGGCACTTGGACTTTGCACTGACACTGACATCGACACTACCAATGCTGATAATGCCAACGGCCGTGGGTCCTGAGGTCATCCCGCTCCTGCCTCGCCTGGTTGACTTGACTGCCAAGATTAGACCCCAATCGCGCCTTCCGGATATGCGGCGTGATGGATTGCTCCTGCCCGCCTCGCTTGTTTATTGTTGTGGCCGCCGTCGTGGTGATAGTGACAGTGAATTGCTTCGAGTTTCATCCAGTCCAGCGCAACACTCTCTTCTCTCCACTCACTTCCTTGGCTCTCCGTCATTTCAGGCAGACTGATCGGTTCCCCACGCCCTCTTTTTCTCGCTCCCTCGAATCACAACACGCTATCCGGCAGGTAATCCGTCTTAGCTGATCCTCTCCCGCCAAGAATACCTGCAACTAGCGTTGGTGCAATATCGATTGCGATACTGCCGCAAACCGGCTATCATAACATTATAAGACTCGCTCGAGTCGCTCTCTAGTAACTGTCCCACAGGGCTCTGCGTCTTTCGTTCCACCATCGTTGTTCTTTGACAGTCGTTCGCTGATATGTCTTTTGTAAGTACCTTGCATCAAGAGCGTTCCGCTCATGTTTCCGCTAGTACCCGCATCGCTAATCACTCATGTGCTTAGCTTACTCGCGCGGCTGTCATTCTCCCAGCCCTCTTCTCATATCTTGGCCATGCTGTCAATCCCGTTGAAGTTCGCGGTCGCGACTTCATTGACACTGTTACGGGCGAGCGCCTTATGATAATTGGTGTCGACTACCAGCCCGGAGGACAAGGCGCATATCAACCTTCCAACAAAGAGGATGCCCTAACCAATTCCGGTGTCTGCTTGCGAGATGCAGTCCTCATGCAGAGACTCGGTGTGAACACACTTCGTGTCTACAATCTTGATCCTGCCCTCGATCACTCCGAGTGTGCCTCCATCTTCAATGCCGCTGGCATTTACATGATGCTCGACGTCAACTCTCCCTTGCCAGGCGAGAGCATCAACCGCGCTGAACCATGGACTAGCTACAACAGCGACTATCTTAACCGCGCCTTTGGAATCATTGAGAACTTCAAGAACTTCCCAAACACGCTTGGATTCTTCTCCGCCAACGAGGTTATGAATGATTTGTCTACTGCCGAGTTCAACCCGCAGTACATCCGTGTACGTTTTCATATTTGCAACGATTTTCGCGTTTAGTTGACTGACGTAAATCAGGCAGTTCAACGTGACATGAAAAACTATATCAAGAACCATGTGAACCGTACCATACCTGTCGGTTATTCCGCTGCCGATGTCCGAGAGATTTTGCAAGATACTTGGGCTTACAT